GTAAAAATATTTGTTGCTTTTCACGTGAGATAGCTCATCTTATTAACTAGATCTATATGTGAAGGTTGAATTAATTTATTAAGAGTTAATGAAAAGTATCCATGTAGGCTTAGTTTTTGTTTCTATATTACTTGGCCTTTTAGCCATTCTAGCCTTTAGACAGAACACTCCCCAATGCACCAAATTTGCTCTTTCAGTGAGCACTTATAATCTGTTGTGGTCTGCACTTCTCACATAGTATTATATATGTGTGTTGGGGAATACAAATTAGTCAAATGGTCACACTTATACCCAACTGCTCCTGTGGATGATTTTCATTTTAAAAGAACAATAGGGTCATAAGCATTCAAACCAATAACTATAACATTTTCAGCTGGTATGCCAGAAGACATTGTTAATTCTAGATTGGGAGTTGAATATTTATATGTTGAGCAATGTCTATGTACTCTAAAAGCCTTAAACTTTTATGACTTAGTCACTTTCAGCTGCCATGGGTAACAAAAACATGACTGAATAAGACTTAATATGTTACTAGGAAGTGAATCACTAGACCAGGCCTATATTTTCTTGGTAAACGATACAATCCTGTTCTTGTGTGTTTTTATTAATATGGGACAAAATTGACAATGCAAAATTCTAAACACAATAAAGAAAAAAAAACTGTTGTATCCTTTATCCCTTTAGCCACCCTTTTGCCCCATTCTCAACACAGTTCTCAGATAATAAAAATAAAACTCCCTCCCTCCCACTCTCTCAGGTGGTTACCCCCTTCCCCAGTACCCTTAAAAAAATAAACCTGTGAGCGAACAATTTCGTTGAGTTTATTAGTGCTTTTGTGTCATCAGCTGCTACTTCCCTGGATCACACATTTCCTTCACCATGGACCCCAGCAATAGAATAGACAGAACCATAAGAATAATGTCCAAAAAGGTAAAGGCCCATTGGCACCAGGGAAGGGAGTGTGGAGACTGCCAGCTGAGAGTAATTATTCATTCAGCAGCAGTAATGCTAGTCAGTTATACTCTTTTCTGCAGTATTGAGAGACTGAGAGAAGATGATCATTATCATTTGATAACAGAACCAGAGGAAAGCAGGGAACATAATGTGATATTCTCACATCACAGGAAATCACATCACATGTCCATTGGTTTCTGCGAAAATGAAGTACACTTTAGGGTGTCAGTAATGTGCTTTAAAAGGTCTATGGTCTGTAGAGAATTAAATAAATTCTGTTTATGATATTGACATGAGCCATCTGATGGACAGATTTGTGAGAGGTGTGATTCAAATTAAACTAGACCTTATCATAGGAAATACTTCAATAACAACATGTTATCTCATGTTCATTTAAGGCTTTGAAAAACCTGATAACCACTAAAAGATAGTTTAAGCAATCTGAGAGAGTCAAGCAAAGGTGATTTATTTTAGAAAAAGAAGCACACATTGAACAAAAAAAAAACACAAACGGTATGACTTCTTGTTCTAATGAAAGATAAAACTGAATTCCACTCAGTAATTCATTTCTTTAAAGTCTTTTGGTTCCACTAGTATGCAGTCAGGGTAATATGAGTGGTTAAAGGTGATGAAAAGAGAAACTGTGTTCTTAAACTACAACACAATTAATCAATACACTAATTCATGTAATCACAACTGTTTTAATCATAACAGGGACAAAGATGTAAAGAGTGCAGCTGTAAGTTGCATAACTGCTTAGTTCAGCTGAAGGTACTAGGTTATATCAGTTGCTTTGTCTCAGCTTGGAAGCTACCGATAAAACACGCTTGACTGGGGACATCTGGGTCCCACATTTGAAATAAGCCACCAACATTCAATTAGCGCCCTCCTTATCCTGCAACACGAACTGACAACTTGGTAAAACAGCTACAGCATTCTGTTAGTAAACATAAAAACTGAAGTCTTTTGAATTCAGCTCTTCAATAATAGAGACTGCAATTCCATTAGGCAGAACAAGTCATTATTGTTTTGGGGCACTGAATGAATGCCTGAATGCTCCTGTCCCAATGCTCAGAATCAAAGAAGGGCTGACATGATGCAGAAGTGGGATGATGATAATAATGAGGATGATATGCTGCCTTGTAATTGCTGGGAGAACCCGGTGCTCAAGGCAGAAGCCTGATTGAGCCTGACACATGAAAAGGGATTAGCTCTGTGGTGTCTTGGACCCTTAGTGGAAAATCAGCTCTGCTATGCCATTCTGTACCAAAATAACAGACACGAGCCAAATTAAAATATTTCCGAATAGAATCAAGGAACCTGAGAGAGTTCACAGATGGAAAGATCACACTGAAATCCCACTTTATATGCCTCACACACCTTCAGATCCAAATATAATTAAAGGACCTTAGAAGCCACATGAGGAACCCAAACAAGTCTGAAGATAATGATTAACAACTTCCTGCACAAGAATACAGTAAGCACAGTTGATAGATAAACCCAAATATGTGCTGACAGAAGTCATCAACTGTACTGTAGCTAGCAGATCAGGCATGTGATAATTAAATCAATGAAGTTCCTGTCTGTTAGCTTTGTTGAAAAACATTTTTGCTGACTATTTAAATACTACATTATGTGGTAAATAACTAATGATTTGACAACAAAAAATTTAAACGATGATAGCTTTATACATTATTTCCAAACTCAAATTTGAGCTCAATACAGTTGTTAAATTAGTAGTAATTAATACAGCAATGTATTGATATGAAAAAGTTAAACCTTACTTATTTTCTTCTCTTAATATCCAACATTTGCTCATGATTTTAAAATTCAGTTGCTACAAAGTGTACTGTCCAGGGATATAATTATAGTAATATAGAAAACACCTTAGCAATGGTTTACTGTTTCACTGGTGAGAAGAAATCTTGTCAGTGTTTATGGAACACCTTTCCTTTATTAAACTATCAATGGCAAGAAAAGATGGTATGGTGCCACATGCTGCTAGAGACTGTGGGTATTCATTTATCCATGTGACATCCGTGTTGCAGTTCTACAGCTTATAACACAAAACAGAAGTTGTCTGACTTTGAATGGTTAACTGGCACAATCTAGCAATGGAAAGCTGATAGAGTGAGTGTATACTAAATAGAGTGCTGTGTACAACACACCTGTCTGTGTGGGATGAGTGCATTTCACACTCCTCTGCTCTCTGCCTTTAAGTTTGTTTACTTTAGAAAGTGATAGGACTCTAGTTCTGACTGGATCTGGCTCCAGCATTGACCTGGCTGCTCTGTCTCTGAACCTATCCAAGACACCAGAGCTCAGAGAGCTTTGATTTAAGAAATGAGGCTTATTTTCTTTGGATGATCTGAAAAAAGGAACACTGGTAGAGATTATAGCCCAGTGTGTGAATGCGTCTGTAAATTCTGAAGTGGTTATCGCTGAACTTTTCCAGTATTAACAGTGAAACACAAACTAAAAGACACAAGTTAAAACTATGTGGGATTGCATTTAAATCTGAGAACACGAGGAAGGAACATCTTTACATAAAAGATTGTAGGCGAGCTAGAAACGTAGATTCAAGACGTACACTGCCTTGCTCTGTAATCATATCATGTCCACAGCAGAATCACTGCAGATAGAAAGAGTTCCTATGATTCAGCCTGACACAGGCCAATAAAGGGATCTGACAGTGCCTTGTAGACCAGAGATCCCCAAGGTCATTTCAGCCTTGTTCTGTACAAGGGGAGGTTCTGGCAGCAGCTGGACTCATGGTGTAACCTGAACACACAGCCCCTGAGCAGAGATTACCACTCAATCACACTTTCAAAAGATTATTACAGGAACCAAATCCCTCTTTAATGCTTCATTTCATCCTCATTGATGTGAAAGACCCAGAAGTGTTTCAGAGTCCGATTTTGCTTTCTGACTCAGACTGGATGATTTCAGTACCCTCATTATAGCTCAGACAGAAAATGCCAAGGCATAGCAGACATTATCTTTGGTCCACCTTCCACTTGGTGTTTGAAAGGTCTTTGAAAGGCCAGCTGCATGTTAACGCTCATGGATCTTTGGGAATTTACATGACCTTCTCATTTACAGTAGATATTTATTTTATCTTAAATCTTTTATCTTATTACTTAAATCCATTAAACTTAGCTGTAAAGACAGAGAATCCCAGACCTGTCTTCAGTGACCCATGTATCTGCTGGCCTTTATTCCAACACAACCTTTGTCATGTATCAGACATTAAGATAGTTGAGTTACTTAAGCAACACAGAATAATTTAAACACAAACTCCAATTTAGATTTTAGAAGTTAGAGTTTTAGAAACTTAAAACTATGAGAGAAACTAATCTCATTAATAGCTCAATACAGGGCTCAACTGTGTAACTGAGAGCTCAGAGTTAATGACAACCAGCAGGTACAGTATGTGGGCCACCAGGACTAGGGCTGAAAAACCCTTGTAAGTGTTATTTAACTACTTCAGAATTTTGGTTTCAGTTGAGTTATTTAACATTGAACTAGCTTGAAGGGAATGATTGTTTTCCCAAAATAATTTAACTTTAAAATAATATACTGTATGTGTTATTCAAATAAAAGACAATAGAAAGCACTGTTTGTCTTGGTATTCCTTAGAACACTAGATCAGAACAGACTTCAGGACTGTAGTATCTGCAGCTTTTGTAGGTCTTTTAAAGCACAGATACCTGGGAGAAGACCTGGGAGGAGATGGTAAATTGGCACCTGAAGAAAGCTCCATGGCCAAAAACATGTGTTTTCTTTCTTTTCTTTTCAGCATGGAATAAACCTATTACTTGTTCCTTTGCAGCCTACGCATGCTGACGCAGCTACCCACAATAATAAGACATTGGCACCTGTATCTTAATAAATGCATCTGTTGTCATTCTGTCAATTGTATCAGTGTGGTATTTCTGCTGTATTTGTTTATGTGTGCTCAGTACTCAGTGAATGACTTAATCTCTTTTCTTTTTACCTGGAGAAACAAATGTGAAGCTAATGTTCCCTTTTGTTCTCTATACCAGCTGAGGAGTCTGGCACAAAGACGCCGCTCAGCCCCTGCGCTGGTCCTAGGCAGAGTGCTGAGCAAGTCCTGGTCACCCGTCAGGTAGGCCTGTTCTTCCAGTCAGTCTCACAGTCATGTCTACATCCATAGTCAATGCCTTCCATAGTCCCTACAGAACCGAACCAGCTCCCTTCAAGATGATGCCAGCAAATCCGTTAACGTGCAAACCATTTTTTTTACTTAAGTTAACTTAGGTACAGAAAACAAGAGGGTAATGTCTAATGGAGAATTTACTAACAGATTTGGATCATTAAACAGATTTTTAACCCCAGAACACTCATGATATCCTGTGAGATTTGTTATTAGGGCAGGGAAACTGGCCTATACTCACCATTGCCCGTTTGAGGGTTTACAGTGAGTATAATTTTTACCTAATCTCAGACTTGCAGAAAGAACAAATTTTGAAACATGAATTTAACAAATACACACATGCATTTTATTAATAACACTGGAACTTACCAACATTTTAGACACTTTTTGTTATTGAAAGCGTTCATGCTTTGCAGTTTGATGCTATTTTCATTCTTTTTTTGTGTTGCACTCGTTGACTGTCATTGGCAAAAACTGAAACAAGCCAGACATACTAATTAATCATGTGATCTGAGCATAAATAGCAGCGTTTTCTATAGGCAGTTGTTTTTTTTGTTTTTTTGGTTGCTGTAGATCAAATATTTAAATGTTACATGCTGTGTTGTTTTAATGTCTTTTAGTATGTGGTAGGAGGTAGAATACAGTAAGAGTCACAGCCGCCTCAGTAAAAGAAGAACCGTTCTAGCATCTATGCCTGGATTAAATGTGAACTTCAGCATACAAACAAAAAAATAACAAACCAAGTGCTTGCTGTCTGGTTTCATAGATTTCCACATAGAATAGTTTGGTGGATCGTATAGGTTAATATGAAGTTATTAATTCAAATTTTTCATGTATTCCACTCTCAATAATTATGCACACATTAGTGTATAATTGTTAGCTGTTTACAAACTCGTGAACCTTTAAGGACCAGTTTTCCCAAAATCTTACTGTCTTTATTAGACTGATAGTTCACAACAATATGGCATCTTACTTTTATTGAGCTCCTCTTAAAAACTTTAAAGACAAAATATAGTTAGTACATTGGCGCCAAGGCGTGGCTTTGTAAAGCTGGTCCCAGGTGGTTGACACCTTCTTCCATGCACAATCCTGTTGATGAGTCTGCAAGCCTGGTGTGAGTAATAATGGGCCCTTGATATTTATCACGGATCACACCTTCAGCTGTGCTGTACTGTAAATGGAGGGGTCATCTGCCAGCTCTGGCATTATTTGTAGTTTTTTTTGTGAGCACCTTCACATAAAGTATAAAGAAAGAATAAACAAATGCTTACCAAAAAAAATAAATCAAGCTGTTCTTTTCTGTTATCTTATGAGCTAATCTGAGTCATGACTTTGTGTTTAAAACATTTATTGCACCTTTCCGTCCCCTGGATTTAAATGGGGTAATGTGATTTCTCTTTAAAAATGAGTAAACTAGAGAGCATTCTTGTGTGTCAGTCTCAGCTGGGACTAGAAAAATTAGTCATCTCTTTTTTACTGTGATCAAGAATAGAAATGGCCAAATTGAATTTACCCCCCCTCGTTCTTGTAAATAACTCTGCTCTTAATTAACTCCATCAGTTAAGGACTCCCAGCCACCACTAGTGAGTGATAAAACTTGGAGATTGACCACACTATAGGGCCACTTTTCTGAATGAATTAAATACTTGGGAAGTACACTTTCATTAAAATAATGATACCATAATATCAGCTAAAATAGAAATATTGAAAAGTTTATTGTATTCCTACTTTATAAATACAAAATGAGAAACATTGAACTACAAGAGGCTATTTAAGAAAAATACCTTGTAATTTATATTGACACACTAAGTAAGCATTAGGATATACTGTATATTTTAAGGTGTAAGGTAACAAGGCTTCATTTAGAATATTATGTACACTTTTTGTCACCACATTACAGAAAAGAGCAAGCAGATTCCAGGGCTTAAAAAAATACACTGAAAAAACTTAAATGTATTCGTTTTGAACAGAGAAGACTTTGTGAAGACCTGATACAAATTTTAGAAATTGCCAAATGCTTTGAAAATGTGAAGCTAGCATATTTCTTCAAAATAAACGTTAACAAAAAGACTCAAGGAACACTTCTTAACCCAAAAGATTATGGGGGTGCAGAACAAGCTACCCAGTCATGTTGTTGAAGCTGATACCTCCTTTCTTTCAATGGCTGGACAAGATCTTCGGCTCAATGAGCTACTATTCATAATAATTCACCTTTCATTAACAATAATGGATTCACCTCCACCACCACCAATGTGCAGCATCCACCTGGATGATGTTACAGAAGACATAGTGCGTTAGTACTCTTATCGCCAATAGCTATCAGTGGGGAGGAGAGCAGAGTGATGAAGCCAATTCATAGATTGGGATTATTAGGAGGTCGTGATTGGTAAAGGCCAGGGAGAAATTTCAGCAGGGCATCGGGGTAACACCCTTACTCTTTTCAAAAAACGCCCTGGATTTTTAATGACCATAGAGAATCAGGACCTTGGTTTTACATCTCATCTGAAGGACGGCACAGTTTTACACTATAGTATAAAAAATCCACTATATTTGGGCAGTAGGAGGACCTACACAGACCACATGGTGAGCACTCCCTACTGGTCCCTAAGAGGTCCCATTAGCACTTCTTCCAGCAGCACCATTAGCTTTTCCAGCTCTTATTTGTAACCGTGCTCACTGTCTTATAATCCAGTGCTAACAACAAAAATCAGTACATCAGATACAGTACTCTAGCCATAGGGAATATTTTATATAGTAGAGTTTAATGGAAAGTACCACGAGTTAACAGGAAAGTAAAAGTTTGACCAGTGCTATCAGATGTTCTTTATAATGTACAGTATTTTTGTTAATCTTTAAGAATGTAAATATCTACTTTAAGTTTATCTTTCATTCTTATGAGTGATAATTCTTGATAAGGGAACGGTACATCAGAACATGTGTTGGTCACTGATTGCCCTATACTAGCACAATGACCTTTGATACTGGTCCTATAGATACCAAACATTTATCAGATTATTTAGCTGAATAACAGAAAACTATTCAGTTTAAAATGTTTAGGTGTAAATTTAGGTGTACAATGCATTCTAAATTTTGCATCATGGCTTAAAGGCTTTTTTAATGTGTGATTGACTACTTTAAACTCACATTATTTCACTCTGTTAGCATCATGTCTGAAGAGTCCTAACAATTTCAATTCTCACAGACCAGCTATTGAGAGGGCAGTTGCAAATACTTGGGTTGTGTTTTATGCGAGATGCCCTTTTTATTTATAATTTACTAATTGGTTGTGTTTAATGTACTTTCACCTATTTTTTTCTAAACAAGCATTCCAAGAAAAATAGAGAAGTAATTCTGTCCATGTGTCCAGAATCCTAATGTATTTACTGCGCTCGTTCAGTCTCTATAGACAGTGCTCATTTAGAAAACTTTTTGCTTATTTTTATATGAACCCCACAAGAAACACACTATTTTCCAAGTGTGTGTTGGGGGAGGTTAACGAGTTCATTACTAAAGCTATTTTTGTGTCTAGTAGTCATTTTAGTTTGTTTGAATGTAGGGACCAGCATTGTGGGGGCAGAGTGTGCAAGCAAGATATGCATTCAATGATTGGCTTGATTAACATTCAAGTTAATAGAGTAAAATCAAAGTGCAGTCTCTTACTGATATTACAGTTTTGCTTAAACAAATATAAAAAAAAAAATAATAGAATGGCAGGTGCACATAGATAAACAACTCCCGCACTAGTTGGCAAGCAGTGACAAGTCACTTTTTGTGAACCTGCTGCATTTTTCCTGTCACACTTTGAAACCACTGCTTCAGATCTTGCTTGCTGGAGTGTAATTTTTTTGAACCCTCACTTATTCACCCTGTGAGCTGGTAGTTTTGTACACAAAGTAATTATCCACTTCTCATGCAGTGTATGTCAGAAAACTGAGCAATTTAAAGTGGCTGATAAAGAAAAAATAAAGAACTCGGACTGCTCCAATTCCATTTAAACATACTCTAGCTAGCATCATGAAATGAATCTCAGTGTCATAAATTGACTCAAAATGGATGGTTGGATGAGCATCATCATGAAGTAGCGAGGAATTAGGAATGATATTGCTGATACTGTCTGTTACTTTTAAGTACCTTTAGACAAGCCTTTATTGTCAGCTTGGCATAAGACCAACAGTAATTAGTAGTTATGCAAATAACAAAAATTGTCAGTCATATTGTGAAGATTCACAGCATTTTGAACTAACACGTTATCATTAACTGGCTAGAATTGGTTAGGGTTGGGATCTCTGTTTCTGAAAGTTCTTTGGATTTAAAGAAAATACAGTAGCTGAAAGAAACCTTCCAGCTGTGCAAATCTGCATTGATTCTGCGAAAATGGTGCATGTTGTGATGCACTACAATTACACTCTTAACCAAAGATTGTTCACATAGGCAGCTCCTGTCCTCTGAACTAGTAATAAAGCTCCATTTTCCACTGGTTTTGCTGTCTATAAGCATAAAGTGCACATTTATCTTCAAGCTACATCAAATCTGTTTCTATTTTAGCACATTGTTAGATAGCACGATAATCTTGTCTGTTTTGTGGTACAAACCAAAGCACTAAAAGCAGAGCATATTTCTAAACTTTATAACAATGATAAAAACAAAGTAGAAGATAGCAACTTTAGAAAACTCTCATATGTAATTTTCCCTTTGAATAATGTTGGCTGATTAACATTGAAAGTTAAAGAACTGCATTGTTCATTAATTGAACCTTATGCTAAACGGCCATGCAGCTGCCACTCTGGGCATAAAAGCCTACAATGCAAACAAACTAATGCAAACAATCATATTACCATTTACTGTAGCATACAGAGCTGAAACAAGATATTTTTTGAGCAAATCAAATAATACTTTGCTAATATTACCAATATACATTTTTGTATACTACATTCACACATATGAAAGATTAT